TATGTCTGACCTCTGCCTCATAGGAATCAGCTTTGGGCTGTTGATGGTGATAATGATTCTCTTTCCCCCTTGTGAAATTAGATGAGGAGGTCTGATGCTGCCACCATGTCATTATTACATATAGTAATTCCATGCTTAACATTTTGAGGAACTGCCAAACTGTTTTCCAAAGTGGCAGCACCGTTTATGTTCCAACTAACAATGTATGAGGTTTCCAATTTTTTACATCCTCATCAATATTTGTAATTGTGTCTTTTAAGCCATTCATATCCTGAAAAGTTCACCACCATAGTTTGATGACTAGGTCTGTCTCTTCTCTCATGATTTTCTGTATAGTCGGGTACAAGCAAAGGGAAGTATCTTTTTACTATCAACAACTTTGTTATTTTCACTTTTTTTTTAAAAAACAAGGAATTATTCATCAGTTGGTAACCAAGTTATTAAACTCTTAGATCCCTGAAAATTTTTTAAAGCAGTGTTTCAGTGAAACTTAGAGCTACTTGGGTAGTAATGTGTATGTTGGAGGTGTGGTCATGACATTGAAGGGTACATTTGATTTTAGGATTCCTTTGCTTTCAATTTTAGTTTGGAAACTGAGGGAAGTTTATAGCAGGTGTTAGCTCTGACATTTTACCAGTAAGCTGGAGGTACAGTAGACATTGGCAGGTACAGTAGACATTGGCAGCCCCATGTCTAAGCAAGGATGAGGCAAAACAGATTGTGAGAAATAGTTGTACAGAAGTACTACTAACAGTCTTTAATTTTACTATCATTAGATTATTATATTAACTTATAAAGGAGACAGTGTAAGTATTAGCCTCCTTTTAAATACAAAAAACTGAAGGTCTCAATTAAATGACTTATCAGTGATACGTAGCTTTTAAGTAAGTATTTAATTCAGGATTTGAATGCAGTTGTGACTTAATTATGATTGCTTATTCCTCTGCTACAATCATTGGCAAGCAGTGGGTTTGTTTTTAAAAACTTTTATTTTCTTTTGCAGGGATAAAGCTCATTCTTTATGCTAATAGAAAAGTTTTTCTCTGTTTATTTAAGCCCTACCTTGCTTCAAAGGAGCCCTGGTGGTGCAGTGGTTAAGAGCTCGGCTGCTAACCAAAAGGTCAGCAGTTCGAATCCACCAGCCGCTCCCTGGAAACCCAGTGGGGTAGTTCTTTTCTGTCCTATAGGGTCGCTTTGAGTTGGAATCAAGTCGATGGCAAAGGGTTTTTCTGGTTTTGCTTCAAAAGGTACTCACAGTATTTGGTGTTTCAAATCGGGGAAAAAGTATATGTGTGCATGCATGCAATAAGAGGAGTAGATGTTTATTTAAGTTTGGAGAGGAGATGGAAGCAGTATGGGAAAAGTTTTTCGGTTTTCCAAAAACATGAGGGTACAATAAATACGTAAGAGGAAAATACATGAATTAAAAATATGACACTTTCTTGAACTGACCCCAGATGGAAATTCCTTTCTGTTTTGTGTAATACTTAATAAGCACATTACTGATCTAATGTTAACTCCATGTTCAAAAACCTTCAATGCAATTACAATAAAAACATAAAAAAATAGTGTAGAGTGACCTTAAAGTCATATGCAGGACCTACATAGAGAAAATCAGCACTGAGGATTGTAAAAGAAATAGTTAATAAATGGCGAGATGTCACATGCTCATGAATGGGAAACTCAATATATGTCTCCTATAGTAAATAAATATAAATATATTTTAAAATCATAATGGGAATCCGTGTGTCTGCATGTGTGTGTGTGTGTGTGTGTACCTGACAAAGGGAATTTGCAGTTCAAAATGATATGATAAACGTGTGACTAACCAAGAAGGTAGTGAAAAAGAAGAGTAATGGGGAGGACTTGTATTTCCAGATACAGTAGTGAAAACAGTGTGTTATGAATACCTGAATAGACATCTATGAATGGCATAGGAAGCCCAAATGAAGGCCAAAATATGTAAAATTATCTAGCATGTTATGAAGTAGGCATTTCAAACCAATGGAGAAATGACAGACGCTTTAATAATGATCTCTAATAATTGGTTAATTACTGATAATTACATTTATTCTTACTTCGTAACATATATACAAATATGAAATGAATTAAAGAGTTAAGTGTTAAAAATGAAATTGCCTAAGTTCTAGAAGGAATAGAGATGAGGATTTTTATAAATGTTTGGATAGGTATGATATTTTTAAATGTGACATTCAGGGAAGAACCCCTTAGGGGAAAGAGTAGAGGTTTGACCACATGAAACTTTAAAATAGCTTGCTGTTTGAAAAACCACCCTATCAAAGGTAAAGGGTAAATAAGCTGGGAAGATATATGCTACATATATAATAATCTAAGAAGCTGGACTATATGAAGAAGAACAGGGCATCAGGATTGGAGGAAGACTCATTAACAACCTGCGTTATGCAGATGACACAATCTTGCTTGCTGAAATTGAAGAGGACTTGAAGCATTTACTGATGAAGATCAAAGACCACAGCCTTCAGTATGGATTACACCTCCACATAAAGAAAACAGAAATCGTCACAACTGGACCAATAAGCAACATCATGATACACGGAGAAAAGACTGAAGTTCTCAAGGATTTCATTTTACTTGGATCCACAATCAATACCCATGGAAGCAGCAGCCAGGAAATCAAAAGACGCATTGCACTGGGCAAATCTGCTGCAAAAGACCTCTTTAAAGTGTTGAAAAGCAAAGACATCACCTTGAAGACTAAGGTCCACCTGACCCAAGCCGTGATATTTTCAATCGCATCATATGCATGCGAAAGCTGGGCAATCAATGAGGAAGACCGAAGAAGAACTGACACCTTTAAATTGTTGTGTTGGCAAAGAATATTGAATATACCGTGGACTGCCAAAAGAACAAACAGATCTGTCTTGGAAGAAGTACAATCAGAATGTTCCTTAGAAGCAAGGATGGTGAGACTACTACGTCTTACATACTTTGGACACATTGTCAGGAGGGATCAGTCCCCAGAGAAGGACATCATGCTTGGTTAAGTAGAGGGTCAGCAAAAAAGAGGAAGACCCTTAATGAGATGGATTGACACAGTGGCTGCAACAGTGGGCTCAAGCATAACAACGATTGTGAGCATGGCACAGGACCGGGAAGTGTTTTATTCTGTAGTATGTAGCGTAAGCTATGAGTCAGAACCGACTCGATGACACCCAACAACAACATACTAAGGAAATAATATCATTTAAAAAATAAAGTGGTTTCTCAAATCAATATGAAAAAGTCAGAATGCTCCAAAATAAAAATGGGCAAAGGACAACCTCACCTAGAACTCAGGTAATAAATCTTAGGAAATAAAAGTATAGCCCCATGACCCAAAATTTTAGACTCTTGATACAAATTGCTACATTGTTCATTAGAAAGGCTGTTAAGAATATGCCCACTCTCCACATCTTCACCAACTTAAACTCATCAACACCAATGAATGTTTTTTAAAATTTTTGTTAACCTAGTAATTTTAAAATGGTATCTCTAAATTGCATTTTTAGATTAAACATGTCTGTCATTTGAATTTCTTCATCTGGAAGAAGTCAGGAATCATTAGCAACTGAGTTTTTTAAAGCCATGGAAATGGGTGAAATTGCCCAAGAAGATTGTGTTGCATGAGGAGTGGGCTGAGGACACCATCATTAAGGCACCCACTCAGCCTTTCTTCTACCTTGATGCATACAACCATATACATTATCTGTTTAACTAAAGTGAAGTCATTGTTGTACATATGTGTAATCTGTTTTCTCCTAATCTGATCTACCTTAATCATCTTTCTTTGTCATTAAACAAAGTTATACTATAGCATTTTTAAAGTCTGCATGTTGTTGTTAGGTGCTGTTGAGTCAGTTCCAACTCATAGCGACCCTGTGCACAACTGAATGAAACACTCCCCTGTCCTGTGCCATCCTCACAATTGTTGGCTATGTTTGAGCCCACTGTAGTAGCCACTGTATCAGTCTATCTCATCGAGGGTCTTCCTTTTTTTCGCTGACCCTCTACGTTACCAAGCATGATGTCCTTCTCCATGGGCTGGTCCCTTCTGAAAACATCCAAAGTATGTGAGATGAAGTCTCCCCATCTTCACTTCCAAGGAGCACTCTGCTGTACTTCTGAGACAGATGTGTTTGTTCTTCTGGCAGTCCAGGCTATATTCAATATTCTTTGCCAAAACCATAATTCAGAGGCATCGATTCTTCTTCGGTTTTCCTTATTCATTGTCCAGCTTCTGCATGTATATGAGGCGATTGAAAATATGGCTTGAGTCAGAAGCATCTTAGTCTTCAAAGTGGTATCTTTGCTTTTCAACACTTTAAAGAGGTCTTTTGCAGCAGATTAGCCCAATGCAATACATCATTTGATTTCTCGACTGTTGTTGCTATGGGTGTTGATTGTGAAGCCAGGTAAAATGAAATCCTTGACAACTTCAGTGTTTTCTCCATTTATCATGATGTTGCTTATTGGTCCAGTTGTGAGGATTTTTGTTTTCTTTATATTGAGGTGTAATCCATACCGAAGGCTGTAGTCTCTGATCTTTGTAAGTAAGTGCCTCAAGTCCTCTTCACTTTCAGCAAGCAAAGTTGTGTCACATGCATAACGCAGGTTATTAACGAGTCTTCCACCAATCCTGATCCCACGTTCTTCATATAGTTCAGCTTCTCAAATTACTTGCTCAGCATACAGACTAAGTATGGTGAAAGGATACAACCTTGATGTGTATCTTTCCTGATTCTGAACCACACAGTATCCCCTTGTTCTGTTTGAACAACTCCTTCTTGGTCTATGTACATGTTCCGCATGAGCACAATTAAGTGTTCTGGAATTCTCATTCTTTGAAATGTTATCCGTAATTTATTATGATCCACACAGTCAAATGCCTTTGCATAGTCAATAAACAGGTAAACATCTTTCTGATATTCTTCACTTTCGGCCAAGATCCATCTGACATCAATGATATCCCAGGTTCCACGTCCTCTTCTGAATCCGGCTTGAATTTCTGGCAGTTCCCTGTCAATATACTGCTGCAGCCATTTTTGAATCATCTTCAGCAAAAAAAGGCTGCATAATAAACCCTTATATGGATGTAAAATAATAAGCAATCTCCATTGTTAGACATTAAAATTGTCTACTGTTATTTGCTACTGTTAACAATGCTTTGATAAACAGTATACATATTTGCACATATTTTTCATTATTTCCTTAGGAAAAGCTGGGTCACAGGAATATTTAAAGCCATGGAAGGGATGAATTTACCTAGGGATAGAGAAGAGAGAAGCCCTAGGAATGAGGTTGTTAGGAACAGGTTTTAGGCAGAAGATCAGGAAATGGAGAAGAGAGACGAAGAATGAGTAGCACAAGAAGATTGCAATATCAGAGAAGCCAAGAGAAGAGACTGTTTCAAGGATCTTGGTCAACTGATCAAAAGCTTTAGAGTATCAGGTAGGATAAGGACAGGAAAGAGTGCCTTGGATTGGCAACAAAGACATCCTTATTGATTGTGACGAGCTGTTTCACTGTAATGGAAGAAGCAGAAGCCCAATCTGGGGGTGGGGGATGAAGAATAAATGGGAAGAAAGGAAGTGGAGACTGGTTTTGAAAAGGAACAGGAAAAAAAAAGTAAGGGTAGCTGGAGGATGTTGTAGGGTTAAAAAAGTTTATTTTATCATGGTAAAAATACATATAACAAAACATTTGCCAATTCAACATTTTTTACATGTACAATTCAGTAACATTGAATACGTTTATCATGCTGTACAAACATTACTACTATTTCCAAAGTATCCCATCAGCATTAAAAGATAATTTTTAAAAACACAGGAGATACTCAGAGAGGAATGATTCAGTAGAGAAGACTGATGATGCAGGAGCAGTTAACTGAAAGAGGGGTAAGCCCCAGAATACAAATGGAAGAATCTAATTTCCCCAGCCCAGACATCTCCTTTGTGCTCTAGACTTATATCCACATGCTTACTTGATACTTTGACGTTTCACCAGCATATAACTTTCTAAGAATTAACATGTCCAAAACTAAATTCTTAATCCCCCCACCTCTTAATTCTGTTTCCTACCCCTTCCCACAGTCCTTCCCCATTGCAATAAAAGATGCTGCTATCCATCCAGTTGCTAAAACCAACACATGCCCTGCCCTCTAATCTATCTATGAGTGATATCTTCAAAGTATATCCCCAAACCTTCCACTTTCCTCCATTTCTACCATCATTCTGGCCCAGGGCACCATCATCCTTTATCTGGACTGCCACCAAAGCCTCATGATTTGGACTCCTTCCATTCTTGACTCCCTCTGGCCTGTTCTCCAGGTAGCAGCTAGGGTCATCATTTAAAATGTAAATTTAGTCACTCCCATGCTTGGAAATCCTTCAGTTGTTTTCCATTGCACTTGGAATAAAAGCCAAACTCCTTATTGAACCTATAAAGCTCTGCCTGACCCTTTCCTACTACCTCTCCAGCTGCTATCTTTTTCTCAGCACACTCCAAGTATGTTCTTTTTTTAGTTTCTCCATATGCCAGCTCTTTCCCACCTCAGACCTTTGCATAACTGTTTCCTCTTCCTCTCCTGTGGTTTGGCACAGGGCTAGTTTTAATATCCTCTCTTCAGGGATGCTTTTGCTGATCACGTCTGTCCTCTTTTCACCATTATTCTCTGTAGCCCCTTTTTTCATTCACATGATAGAGTTTGTAATTATTAGTTGGTTTCCTTTTATTTGTCACCCCATCGCATCTAAACTGTAAGCTCCTCTGGGACAGTGATCCTGTCTTGTTTACTGTGGTATCCTCAGTGCCATCCTCAGTGCCTTGCTCAATGCCTGGCTCATAACATCCAATATTTGTTGAATAAAGAAATGAATTATCAGTCTTTGCCATATTATTTGTTTTATTCTATTTTACAGGCTAGACATGTGTATGCTGTTTAACCTCCCAGTATTACATAGGTCTTGATGGCTGGAACTTTGTCATGTTTGTGCCTTAATAAATATATGTTGTATGTACTCAATAAATACATGTTGACACAAGTTAACTGAAAAATAATGAACGTGCTGAAATGGATAAGTTAGAAATGTTCTAGAGTTATAGTGCCAATATAATGAGTTTTTTTTTTAACAGAAAGATTTAAGATCAAAGCTAAAGAGAGTAAAAATCAAAAAAGGCATTTTAGATATAGACCATAAATTATGATTTACATACAGTTTCTTCTGTATGTTCCCCTACTCCTTGTGCCTGTCTTATGCCATCGTAACTGCTTCCTTGTTTCAGTTTGCTTTTTCTGTTTTTGTTACAGCCTTCAGTTCTATAGAACTTTCTAGCCTGGGGGGAAGGGGTATATTATAATGGTGATTGAAGGTAATATGTGTATTATAGTGATTGATATGTGATTACTATTTCCTCTAACAATTTTCCTGTTGCCAGATCTTGCTGCAGCATTTAGTGCTGATCCCTCCCTTCTTAAAACTTACTCTTCCCTTGATTTTTTGAGACCCCATTCCTTGTTTTCCTCCCAAGCCTTTAGTTAAACTTTCTCATTTTTCTTTGTGGTTTTCTTTTTCTCCTTCTGTCCCTTAAATTTATGTTTTAAGTGATTCATTGTAAAAGTATTAAATTATGGATGATTGCCTTGTTTCTTTAAGTAAAATAGAGCAGATCTCTATAATTTTACTCATACACGTTCTTCTATGATAGCTTGAGTGGGAAGAGAGAAGGTAGGATTTTAGCTGTGTTGCAAGGAATCTTGAACTCCAGATAATATCCTTGAGATTAAGTAATTAATATCATTGGTCATATGTGTAAAGGTAGGAACCCCAAAGATTCTGTCCTCAGCCCACTTCTGTTGCAACACACTCTTGGGCAGTTCCATCTACTTCTATGACTTCAAAAAAGCCCAGCTGGTAACGACTCCCAATTTTATTTTCAGCTCAGATTTCTCTCCTGAGCTCTAAGTGGGAATGTTCATTAACCCTCTTTTCAGTATTTCTCACAGTATCACTTATAAACACCTCAAACTTAATGCATCCAAAATTGAACCCTTCCAGATTTGTTCAGCCTGTGTCTCGCTATCATTCTGTATTCCCCCTCAAGTCACCATTGGCCAAGTCTTGTCAATTTTCTTAAGTGCTCTCAAATATCTGTTACCACTATTCTGCCCATATAATTTCTTACCTGGATTTCTACTGTGGGATGTTGGTTTTCCTACTTTCTGTTTTCCACACTGCTTATCAGGTTATCTTTCTAAGGTAGTGATTCTCTACTGCAAGGTAGAATTACTTCAAGAGCTTTTTAGAAGTGAATTTGTACGGTCCCATTCCAGAACTACTGATAAATAATTTTTGGAAGATTTCTGTGAGAACTTTATTTTGACCTATAATTTTCCACAATCTGCCTCCTCAGAGTTCATGAATTAATTTTTTTCAATTTCACGATTAAGAATTCCTTAGTAAGAGATGATTATTTATAGGCTTCAGGTTTTTGTTTTTAATTTTCAGACTGTGATTAGCTAAAATAAAATAAAGATACATATAAAATATTTGGCATCTAATGGGAGAGAAATTGACTGAAAAAATGTTGAGCATGCTGAAATGGGTAAGTCTAGAGACGTTAGTGTTCCACACGCAAGGTTAATTTGGTGAACTCAGTGTTTATTTCTGTACTCAATTTAGAAGACAGACTTTATGCTAGAGAATACGGGTGAATTATGTGCTAGATGAAGTAAAGATATTAGTTTAATTCAGAATATTAGAATTGCAAAGAACATTAGACTTCTTAAATAAGAAACCTAGAACTCTAAAAGGTTAAGTGACTTTGCTCAAAGTCTTGTAGCATGTTTGCAGAATCAGGACTGGAATCTGGGGCTCCTAACTTTCAATTCAGGATTCTTAATTTTCTCAGTTGTGAAAGGTTGATATATCTAAGACTAACACAATCTTTTCAAAGTTCAAGGAGAGTTTCCAGTGGCCAAATTCTTCAACATTAAGAAAATGGTATGACTAGTGAAGGCAAAAATCATTCATTACTTGAGTAACTTAATGCTTTACCTGGGCTTGAAAATATTTCATGGAACTTTTGCTAATTGATTTTTAAACTTAAAATGTACTTTATTTCTTAAGCATTATGGACATAAGAGTATGCTACTCAGGGAATACATTTGTATGTGTTATTAATGTCTGGATATAAAAGAAAATATTCTCAATAGTGTATTCAAAAGAAGTTTTCCTTATGAACATATACCATCTTCATGCCATGAACTGCCATTTTTAGATGAGATTTTTGTCTCAGCTTTCTCATCTGCCTTAAGATATTATTTTCTTTGTTAAAGTGAATAATGTTAGAGAAGGAATATTCATACTTAAGTAAACAAAGTAGAGAATGGAAATGATTAATAATTTATCTTTTTTGATTTGTTTTGATTTTGAGAAAAAAGTCAGTATTTTTGGAATGTAAGTGACAGCAACTGAAGGAAGCATTATACTTCCCCCTGCAAAATTCTGACCTTCCTTATTCTCAAGATTGAGTTAGTACCCTACTCAAGAGTGTGTGGGGAGAAGATGGATGATTGAAGTTTTATGCTAGGCTAGAAATATTAAGATTAAGGAAGCTGTAACCCTTATCCTTTAATTCATTCTGCTTCCCTAGGCCTTAGCTCATGTAATGTTTGGAGCTTGAAGGGTTTGGAAAAGTCCTGTTTCCCTACCTCTCATCCAAAGCTTTGGGGCTAGGAAAGGCTATGCTGGGCCACATCAGGTCCTTTCTTAAGCAAATGTACATTTATTCAAAGGAGATCATGTACTGGTCCAAATACAGGAATTAGAAACAAGACCATGTTTTGAGGCATAAGATTTTATTTCTTCAGCATAAATTTGTTTTTAATAATTGGCTTTTGCTTAAAAAATAAACAAAAACCCACTAAACCAGTGGCTATCAGCTGTAATGCCTTCTGAAAACTTAGTTTAAAATAATAAAGATATTATATACAAATTAACAAGACATCACTATTTGGTATATGGAGATGTGCCAGTCATAGAAGATTGAAGACGTACATGGCAATAAGGCTTATCTGTAACCACCTTGTTTGATAGTGTGTGCAGTTCATGGAAAACTACCAAGGACCAGTAAGGCTGAGTGACTATTCTTTTTACTGAGATTTAATTCACATACCGTAAAATTCACCATTTTAAAGTGTACGATTCAGTAGTTTTCAGTATATCCACAAGGTTGTGCAGCTGTCACCACTAATTTCAGAACATTTTCACTACCCTAAAAAGAAACCTCATAGCCGTTAGCAGTCCCTCTCCATTCTTGTCTTTCCCCAGCACCTTGCATCTACTAATCTACTTTTTGTCTCTATGGATTTGCCAGTTCTGGGTATTTCATATATATGGAATCATATTATATGTGGTCTTCGGTGATTGGCTGTCACTTAGCATAATATTTTTAAGGTTCATCCATGTTTTAGCATGTATCAGTACTTCATTCATTTTTATGGCTGAATAAAATTCCTTTGTTTATCCATTCATAAGTTAGTGGGCATTTAGGCTGTCTTTACTTTTTGGCTATCATGAGTAGCTGCCATGAACATTCATGTACAAGTTTTTGTGTGAACATATTTTCAATTCTTATGGTAATACTATAAAACTTAAGAAGAAAACACAAGAGAAAATCTCTGAGACCTGGGATTAGGCAAAGATTCTTGGCTACAACACCAAAAGTACAATCCAGAAAATAAAAAGTTGATCAAAATTAAGAACTCTTCTAATTCTAAAGATACTCTATGGGAATGAAAATATAAGCCATAGATTGGTGCAAAATATATATCCAGCAAAGGACTTGATTACAGAATATATAAACAACTCCCAAAACTCAGTAAGAAAACAAACAACCCAGTAAAAAATGGGCAAAAGATTTGAGCAGATGCTTTCCCAAAGAAGATTTCTGGATGATACATAAAGCAAATGATGGTTAACATTGTTAATTATTGAGGAAATGCAAAAAACAGACAAAACCAGTGAGATACTACTGTACATCAATTTGAATGGCTAAAATAAAATAATTAAAAAAAAAATTTCTTTTAACAAACTGACAATACCTAGCCAACGAGGATATGGAGTAACTGAAAGTCATACATTATTGGTGAGAATGCAGAATAAATGGTATGGCCACTTTGGAATCCATTGAAAAACAGATTGTTTCTAGAAAGTTAAACATGTACTACCATACAACTGAGCATTGGCCCTCCTAAATATTAATCAGTAAAATGAAAACTTACGTTTACACAAAACTTGTACACGCATTTATAACAGCTTCTTAAATTGTTTGAAATTATGTAGGTGAGTAATTGGGAAACAGTGTTAATTTATTTGAATTATCTGATTCCATAGAATGTTAGAATTAAAGGGACCTTAGAGTTAATTTTGTCCAAGCCATTTTTCATACATATAAGGAAATTAGTGCCATAGTGAGTAAGTCATTTAAGTCACACCATAAACTAGTAATAGAGCTTGGACAATGAATTCAGCTTCCCTGTTTTCTAGGATATTACTCTTTCAACTGTACCCTGCTGTCTCTCCCAGCAAAAGGGCTCTGTTTGAGATAAAGTTGAATTAAGGAAAATATTACGGATTGTTTTTCTTCCTATTATATCTTCAGTATGTTTTTCCCATCGTGACAATATTGTCAGACTTATCTGTAAAGGTCAGGGATTTCGTCAGAGACTTCTGCCACTTTTGATAGTTGGTATCCTAGAAATTTTTTGATATGCATATGGTTTGGGTATATGCTTTTGGTCACTGTTTTTTAATATCCTCTAGTTTAAGCTATGAAGAAGGACATCCCTCACACACTGAAGCAGATCTCCTTCAGAGACAGACTTTTGCAGCCTCTCATCAGCTTCCAGGATATGCTACCACACCTCAGCCAACTGGTAACAATTCTTGTGAAATACACCATGAATCTGGGACCATTTAGTGAATAAGAAAAAAAAAATCAATTTGCATGTGTTAGGTTATAAATGTGTATAGTGCGTAACCATGCCATGGGAAATATTAAAATGAAAATGAGATTAAAAGCTTTGTCTTTTACTAATAGGGAATATCTAGATAACAGGTTGGGAGATTTTTTTGTGCAGCTTTGGAGGTTTTAAATTTTAAATGTGCTTGGTCAAATTAATATTTGCTATTTCAAAATAAAACAGTTTAGGGTTGTAGAAATTTTTGGCCTCAATATTCAGAAATTCCTTTTTAAAATATAGTTAGGAATATAATTTCATATAAGTATATATTTTTTTCTTTAAGGTATATTTTATCTTCAAATGCAGGTCTTTCTGGAATATTTGAAACTAATGTGAACAGTGCCATCACTAACACTAAAGAATCTTCAGTGATGAATTTTCTTTCTGCTGTTGAATCCCGAACTGCTCAGGCTGCTTCTTCAGGAACTACTCTTTTACCACAATTCAGGGCTCCATCCTGGCAGACAGGTAATTCTTCGTTTTCAGAATTTTTAAGGCTTCTAAAACTACTGACAAAAATATACTCTGTATGACCACATCAAGGTAGTGTTGCCAAGAGTGATGTTAATTATTGATCTTCCAGTGAACTTTAAAACTTGAAATTTTTCACAATTTTAAAGTGGACAAAATTCAAGTATTTGTTATTGGCAGAAATTCAGTTTTAGCCCTTGGGTGAAAACTAACAAGTTCAAATTGAAGAAGGTAGATATTATTAAAGATATGCCTTGATGTAAAGCTTATATCTGACAATTTAAGTAGTTAGTTGTCTACTTGAGCGGAGTGAAGATTAAATTTCATTTATTTTAGTGACTTCAGGTTGGGTAGATGATATAATAAACAATCTTGGAATTGATTTATTTCATCATTAGCGTTATGTTAAATTATTCTTAACTGAATAGGTTAAATCACTATTCAGTTTAATAAAAGCCATTACATGTTCTTGTTATTACATTGTGCCCATTTCTCAACAGTAATTACAAGGTGTATATGCCCTTTTCTACTATTTTACTTACTTCTCAACTGTTTACCCTCAAAAATGATGTGTGTGTAGAGATACACACACACACACACACACACACACACACACACACACACATATCAGGACAACAGAAAGGTTAGTTTTTTTGGTGGGGGAGGTTTGTTTTTATAAATAAAGAATAAGAAATGTCATAGCGTATTTGAGAAGATATTTTAAACAATAGATATAGGAAATAGTAGTTTATCATTCTGATATAAATTCCACTCGTAGAGATTCTCAAAATGGCTTAGCAAGTTTTTCTGTTGCTAAGGGGTAATTAATACTTTAGTGTGAAATAAAACAGAGTAATAAAAAAACACAAACACACACTTCCGGGCAACATGGTGCTATACTCGGAAGCACCACGCCATCCCTCTGCAGCAAAGATCAGAAAAACTAAGTCAAATAGAGTCACACGTCAGCCTGAAACCCTAAGCATCAAATGAAGAGATAAAGAACTCAGCCAAGCAGTGAATGGAATAAGAAACCAATCGAGAACAGAGCATGAGGAGAGATACATGCAGAGGTCCCCTATCAGCTACTATAGCACAGATCCACCATCTTGGACTCCTATCGGAGATCAGCGAACAGGAGGTACGAGAAAGCAGCCTCACAGAGCTTTCAGCAGGAGACAGAAAAACCAGTAACCCACGATATAGGCTTTCCCACTTCCCACCCTTCTTCACCCCCATTTAGCCTCCTCTGTTTGCTGCAGCCACAGTCTATTGGCTGGGAAGCACGAGCTTCCCCTAGTGCCGCTTGGATTCCATCTGCCTGCACTGGCCAGCTCCCTGAGTGCCATTTGTTGGCTGTTGGTGTTGCTTTTTTCTGCTTCTTTAGATTTCTTCCTTACCTCTCACCACCTCCCCTTCCTTTCTCTCAAATACCTGGCTCCGTGTGTCATCTTTGCTTCTTCCTGAAAGGCTGCGAAACACTGCTCGACTGTGAAACTGCCCCCTGACCCGTGCCGCCACTCTGGTGAGACCCCCAGGGCTTTTTTGTTTGTTTGCTCTGATTTGTTTGTTTTCTTTTTCTTTTCTCGGCTTGGAAACCCATCCTAGCCAGGCAGTACCACATGGCTTGGAAGCTAGTCCCTTACTCTGCACAGACACACAGGGACATCCCTGGCGACATTTCTTTTTTCTTGTTTTTTTTTTTATTATTATTATTTCTTTTAGTTTTTTTCTCTCTCTTATTCCCTTTTTGTCTTTCTTCATTTCCAGTTTCGCAATTTATTCATTTTTTTTTCTTTTACCCTTTTTCTTATGTTTTCATTTTTGTTTTTCCCCATTTCTCAGTCTCTCATCTCTCCACTCCAATAGGAAGCTCCCTTAGCACTCTTTTTTGTTTCTGGGTATGTTTTTGGCTCCTGTTCCTCTCTCCTCTTTCTCATCTTTCCCATACCCATCTTAGCTCCACACATCACAATCTACCTCCTCCCTCCTGCCTACCTGCACCGTGTGCTGAACATCACACTTCCAAGCAGCACAGGCACGGCCTACTGGAACCCACCCTGCACTGATTCCCGGTCTGCACTGTCAGCCACTCCCCTTCAGCTGGACCTGCCCTGCTGTACCATACCTGAGTGACTAACCCTGCCCACTGGAGAAGGAGGTGAAAAGTATCATGCCCACGGACGAGCAAACAACAAAGAATGCACAGCTCGCCTGCTCAGACATAACCAAATAAAACAAAAAAGCAGGGCGAAACAAACAAATCTACAATCAATAAACGAGGAAAATAACCACTGAATGCCCCTAAGACAGCAGACAATATCAAAACATTTACAAAAACAAGTCAGGATGGTTCCAGTAGGAGTCCAAAATAAAACAACAGATGACCTTCCAGTAGAAGAAAAGGCACTAGACCTAACTGATAGGGAATTCAAATCTCTAATGTTCAGAATTATCCAAGAGTTGAAGCAAAAAACAGACAAAAATGAGGAAAAAATAAATTCTTGGAAAAGGCAGACAAATTCATGGAAAATACAGACAAAAAATGGAAGAATTCAAGAAAATAATACAGGAACAAAATGCTAAAGTAAATTCTCAACTAGAGATCATACAAAAACAACAATTAGAAATCAAAAGATAAACAATAAGACTTCAGAAATGCACAGTGTCACAGAAGGGCTGAGGAGCAGGTTTGAAATGATGGAAGATAGGATCAGTGAAATTGAAGACAAACACTTGGATACAACTCTGGGGAAAAATCAGAAAAAAGAATGAAAAAAAATGAAGAAACCCTGAGAATTACGTGGGATACAGTCAAAAGCCAAAATCTGTGAGTGATTGGAGTTCCAGAATGGGGAGAAAACAGAAAACACAGAGAGGATCATTGAAGAATTTCTGACAGAACACTTCCCCAATATCATGAAAAATGAAAAGCTGACCATGCAAGAAGCTCAGCGAACCCCATATAGGATAGACCCCAAAAGAAAATCACCAAGGCATATCATAATCACACTCACTAAAACCACAGACAGACAAAGAATCCTGAGAGCAGCTCAAGAAAAACAAAAAGTCACATACAGAGGAGAAACAATTAAGACTAAGCTCAAATTATTTGGCAGAAACCATGCAGGCAAGAAGGCAATGGGATGACATATATAAAACCTTGAAAGAAAAAAAATTGCCAGCCAAGAATAATATATCCT